TGCAAGTGCCGTAAAACTGTTACTAATTTATTTTTTTTAACTTGATCTGGTTCGTTTGACCGCTTGTGTCATGATGTTTAAAACTGCTTGGCTGCCGTTCGACAAGCGGAGACAGTGGGAGGTTGGAGGTGACCACTGGTAGGTCCTACGTCTTTTCTTTCTATCTGTTGTTTCTGTTTGTGTGGGGGATTGAAGTTGGAGAGCGCCATTGGAAGGTGCTACTTCTTTTCTTTCCCTCAGTTGTTTCTGTAAACCTGTCTTTCTTCTTCCCAACTCTATACGACCTTTATTTTGTCGATATGCCTCTCTTTATTCAAATTCAAAACTAGTTACATGAAATTAATTTATAATGAACACGTTTTTGCACGAGAAGTTCTCCACACAAAAAAAAAGTAAAATAAAATAAAACGTTCCCGCTGTTTCTCCCCTGCCCCAGGTGTGTTGAGGCCCACCGGGGGCACGGTATACGTGGCCGGCCAGGAGCCCTGGACCCTGAGCCGCCAGTTCCCGATGTGTGTGGGCGTGTGTCCGCAGCAGGACGTCTTCTTCCCCAGGCTCTCCGCCACACAGAACGTCCGGCTCTTCGCAGCGGTCAGAACAACAGAGCCACTGGGAACTGACCACTGAGCACTTAGCTCATACGTGATTAGTTTGGCGGGGGGGAGGGGGAGCGCACTGTTGACTAATTTGGTCTCAAGCTGGACTAACGAGCGGATGGATTTGGTTCTATTCCCCAACAAAGCGTTCTGAGTTTTGGTTGTTTTAATACTCTCCGCCCATTTGGCTCACTCCTATTGGAGACAGGTGTTTTACTTTCGGAGATCCCACGTCATGAATAACTCAGAATAACCTTGCAGAGTTGGAAGAAGCCTAAATTCTATACCATGACCGAAATGAGAGGGATGAGGGATTCGGTGCGCTCCTGCAGTTTTTTCAATCTTTGTGATCATTGAAGCCACAACTCTTTTTTGTATGTTTTTATTTTAAGAGCTTGATTTTGGTCCCTTTTTGTTTTTCTTGTTGCTTTTTTTTTTAAGAACGGGGATTTTTTTAATATTCATTTGGGGGGAGGGGGCATGAAAGCTGGATAGGGAATTACTTAACCATTTGAAGAAGAAGAAGAAGAAGAAGAAGAAGAAGAAGAAGAAGAAGAAGAAGAAGAAGAAGAAGAAGAAGAAGAAGAAGAAGAATCCAATAGTAACAACAACAACAACAACAATAACAACAACAACAACTACAAAAACAACGACAAAAAAACAACAACAACATATCATACCTGTTCGCTAGAGTTAGCAATCATCAGGATCTACAACTTTTCTTAAAAGAAAACTGTTTCACTTGCCCCCGCCCCCCCCCCCCCCCCACACAGCTGAAGGGATGCCCTCCCCCACCCTAGTAAAGAAGGAGGTGGAACGACTGATGGAACAGCTCGACTGGACGGCAACTGGGACATCTGCGCAAAACTTGGCGCGTATCTGGCAGAAAAGACTCAACATTGCAGCGGCGTTTGCCGGCGACCCACAGGTGTGTGTGTGTGTGTGTGTGTGTGTGTGTGTGTGTGTGTGTGTGCGTGCGCGCGCGTGCACGCGTGCGTGTGTGTGTGTGTGTGTGTGTGTTTGTGTGTGTGTACTGTTCTAGAGTAAAAGGATGAATATTTTGGTCGCTTTTAAGGACAAGCGGGCTAACCCAGATTTCGGGGGTTTCCAGAAATCTTGACCTACACCAAAAGTGGGCCTTGCCCTACCTACAAGAGTAATTTGGTTTCATTGGTGTGTATATTTGTTTGGTTGTCTTTTAAAGAAACTGAACAATGGTCCGAAAACGTTACCTTCGATTTTCTCAAAACAGCAGTTGTCGGGATAGCCCCCTTGTGCTTAAAAGCGACCATTTGTAGTGATTTTCTTTTGGTTAGAAAACATTTCGTTTTTTATTACTGTGGTAAAGCGCTCGGAGCATGTGCACTTTAATGGGGGTTGAGCGCTATTTAAATGTCATTCATTATTACATTATTAATATTATTATTATTGTTATTGTTTTTGGGGTTTTTTTAATTTTTATCATCATCTCACGTGTTATCACAGGTGGGTGTACCGTGCTGGACTAAAAGGGGGGAGGGGCTCTAGTTTGAATCCTCAAGAGCGAATTTCAAGTTTGAGCTGTTTTGGGGGAGTTTTTAAAGCTCTCAATCCATTTGGTTCTGTTCTGTGGAAATTGAGAGTAAAATTCGGAGGTCCTGCCTCTTAAATTATAACCTTGGAGTGTTGAAAGTGGTGTTTATGTTTTAATATAACTATATAATGGCCAATGACCCAACAGTGACAGAAAAACTCTGTCAGCCATTGATTTGTCGTCGACTACTTTTACGTTTTGATGTTTTGACCTTGCAATTGAAATGTAGACCCTGTGAAATAGCTGGGTCAGCAAAAGTTAAACTTTAACTCCAAAATCAACCGAAAGAGAATATGCAATGACAAAATACGTTGTCATATTTATGAATAGGTGACGACAGTGACTTTATTCTTTCATGCCACAAAACTGCTAACGGTAAATGTTAATTTGGACCCCCCCCCCCTCTCTCTCTCTCTCTCTCTCTCTCTCTCTCTCTCTCTCTCTCTCTCTCTCTCTCTCTCTCTATCTATCTCTCTCTCTCTCTATCTCTCTCTCTCTCTCTCTCTCTTTCTTTCTTTCTCTTTCTCCCTACCTTATGAGTTATAGATTTCAACCAAATATTCGACTCTGTCCCAACCATATGAGTAAAGAGATTGCAACCAAACATTCCACTCTCTTCTCCCTCGCTCCCTCCCTCAACACTACGTGGATGCCACTCCCCCCCCCCCCCCCCAGCTCGTCCTTGTAGACAGCCCGGCCACGGGTCTGAGCCAGGGACCTCGCCGGAAGCTGCTGTACGACCTGTGGCAGATGGGCCAGGGGCGTACCCTGGTGGTGACCTCTGAGTCATGGTGGGAGGCCGGGATGTTGGCCGACAGGGTGGCGCTGCTGTCGGAGGGCAAGATCATCTGCTGCGGCTCGCGATGCTACTTCAAGGACATCCTAGGTGAGCGCCCAAGCTGACACGTGCTTTTTCTAATGTATGGGTTTTGCACCCTGATCAACATTAACAACTATCTTCTGTTGTTTCTTCCCTTACTCTTTCACACTGATCACTATCTCGATATGTGCTTCTTCAGGGGACGGAGCGCTTATGGGAATGCCCCTTGTGCAATGATGTCGACCCTTGACACAAGTAACAAGTAACTAATCACTATCATCTGCTGTTTCTTCCCGGGTTCTAAAGTGGGTGGTCAGCGGGCGATCTGGTGTATCTTACTCCTTTTTTTACTCTCAAACATATACATCGACTTTATGGTTCCTCTCGTTTTTTGTACGTTACTTCCCAACAACACTTTTAATCGTTGGCATTTATTTGACCTACTTATACTACTAAGATTTGATTTCAATGTTTTTGGAAGCCACTGAAGTCCAGTTGCGAAAACGTGAGTTTGCACAGAATGACCCTGAAATTACCCAGGCAGGGACACGTGCTACTTAACACCTCGCTTGGAAATACATGAAGGTAGACGATACGAAACATTCAGCCTCTAAGAGGTGATATATGTGTGCGCAGGCTGGAAAAGGGCCGACAAGTATTGGTGTGGACTAATCGCAAACCCAGACTTATTCAGTTCTAGCTGACATTTTTAGCGGTTTTGAGTTACTAAGACCTTGAGGTCAGACAGCAAACATAATGCTCTGTTTGCTCTATCGAAGTCATAAGAATATCCAAAGCTGTTGTCAGGATATTCAACGAATTGCATTCGAAAAAAGTCAACATATTGTAATTCTCGACAATTTTGACGTCAAATTTATCCAAACTAGGTATTCAGTACACAGAGCTGTATAATTCTGAGGTAACGTGATGCTCAGTTTTTTGTGTTTGTTTTTTTTGTTTTTTTTTGTCCCACTATTTCCAGGAGCTGGCTCCCGCCTCACAGTGACTATTGGCCCCGACTGCGACACCAAATCTCTCACGACCTATCTGCAGTTCTTCGTGGACGGAGTGGTACTCTTGAAGAAAACGTCATCTCATCTCGTGTTCTACGTGCCGGATGACGCCGCTGTAATGCTCGAATATTTCTTGGGCAATCTGAAGACCAAGCTCGATCACTTCGATGTGGCTGATATCTCGGTGACAACGGAGTCCGTGGAAGACATCTTCTCAAAGTAGGTTGATTTTAGCGCGGCACTCTTCGGGAGAAGTAGTCCCGGCCTAACTCCATAGACATTTATACACAAAGTCGGAAACAAAAACGGAAGTCGAGTTTAAAAAACTGAACTGAGTTGCCTGCCAAACCTAGCCTATTTGAGACTAGATGTAGATCTAAATCTAGATTCTAGATCTAAATCTAGATTCTAGATCTAGATCTATATTCTAGATCTAGAAGATCTAGATCTAGATCTAAAACCTGATTCTATTTTTTGGCACTATTCTGAATTCTAACGGGAGTTTATTAGTGTGCTTTAAACAATTTTGGCACTAAAAACTGCCGCAAACCATTATTTTGCGAATTCCCTGTCTATTGAGTTAGGTCGTGAACACTTCTCCCTAAGAGTGGCTTTAGCGCTATAGGAAAGTCCACTTGATCCGATCTAGGAAGGAGGTAATAATCCTTGCATGAAAAAAAAAGGATTAGCTCATTGTTGAAAATATCAAGATAAAGACTTGTGCTCGATAATTAAATTTAGCCCAGAAACCTGTTCACAAACGCTGAAGAACAAAATCATAGAAAATTCAAAATTATTGTCAAACGTTTGAGGAAAGAAAACTAGGCCAGGGTATATTCATTAACGATTTAGAATCTACGTGGAAGATAATGCTCAGATGATTAGAATGTCAAGGGTCGCCTTTTGAACGGAAGTGAGACGGTATACAAAAATAGTAGAATTCCGTCTTTTCACGAGTTGACTGGCTGCACATTTCCCTAGCCTAGCCAACTTTTATGACAACGTACTAGATCTAGATTCTAGATCCGAAACCAATATCAGAGGTCGACGCTCTTCGGGAGAAGTGGTCGCGGTCTACCTCCATAGAAATAACATTATCGGAAACAAAAACAGAAATCGAATAAAAATATTAAAAAGCTGGCTGAGTTGCCAGGGTGAAAGGCCGCCCAATGAGGAACAAAAATAATGTAGAACATATTTTTTTTAAACTGAAATTTTTTTTAAAGCTCAAAAAAATGGTAAATACTCAGTCAGCTTACTCGACTGCCGGTTATTATTATTATTTTTGTTTGTTTTTTTAATTATTATTATTATTGTCATCTTTACTACCATTAAATTTGTGATTAATATTATTACTGTTGTAGTTGTTGTTGCTGATATTATTAGGAATCATTCACAATTTGTCACCACGTCCAGCCTGTAATGTTTTCCTCTCCCCGGCCCTTCCCTGTCCCGCTTCTCCTCAGACACTGAAGTGGCGTTAGTGCCCTAGTGGTCAGGCTACCGGACTCGTAATCGTGAGATTGCTGGTTCGGGGGTTCGAACCTCAGCTCGGTCCGACGTTGTGTCCTTGGGAAAGGCACTTGGCACGAATTTCCCACTGGGCTCTGTCCTATTGGAGACGAACGTTAAACTAGGAGGCCCCACCCCTTAAATAACCTAATAGTGTGGATACGGGGCGTTAAACTCATACCATTTCACCATTTTTTTCTCAGACGGCGAACGAAGGCGTCTCTGGAGAGACTGCTACAGCGCATATCACGTTACCAGTCGTCGATGACGTCACTCTCGTACGGCAGCGGCTTCCCGTCAGAAGAGGGCCCGCTGGTGACGTATTCAAGCATCGTGAGGACAAAGAGCGGGAACTACCTGGACGCCTCCGCCCTGCCCAGCGACTCGGACTCCCTGAAGGAAGCGGTCAGTCAGTTGGTCGGTCGCTTATTTAAGCACAAAGGCGGCTTCCCCGATAAAAAGTTTTTTAATTTTAGTAAGGAGTTTTACGTCACTTGCAACACAAAAAGGTCACATAAGTGCCGAAGATTAGAGGTGTTACAAGAGAGTAATAAAAACAAAAAAAAAGGAGGGGAGATAGAGACGATAGATGGGTTTTTTTATAGGAAAGCAGAAGCAAACCACAGCAGAGCACCCGCCAAGCGCCCACAGGAAGGGCGGGGAATAGGAAAACATTACAGGCAGGACGTGGTGGGAAAAGTGGAGGATTTCTTATAATAACAGCAACAACAACAATGATAATAATTATAATAATCGCAATGATAATAATGAAGGAAGGGGTCAGTCAGTTGGTCGCTTTGAAGCACAAGGGAGCCTTTCCCGACAAATAATTTTTTTAGTTTTAGTAAGAGTTTTACGGCAGTTGCAACACAAAAAAGTCATAGAAGTGCCAAAGATTAGAGGTGTTACAAGAGAGTAACAAACACAAAAAAGAAAGAGTAGAGATAAGGACGATAGATGTTTGAAAGAAAGAAGAAGCAGACCACACCAGAGCACCCGCCATCCACCCACTTCCCGATAAATGTTGATTTGAGAAATTCGAAGCTAAAGTTTTTGGATCCTTATCCAGTCTCTTAAAAAGACAGAGTTTTCTCTAAAACCAAACAAATTATATACACACCAATGAAACCAAACTTCTCCTATAGGTAGGGCAATACCCACTTTTGGTGCGGGTCAAGATTTCTGGAAACCCCCGAAATCTGGGTTAGCCCGCTTGTCCTTAAAAGCGACCAGTTTGTCACTGATCACACCACATAGGACACTTCTCCCTCCCCTCCATCCCCTCCCCAACTCCTCCTTTTTTCAGCACCTATATACACCACTGTGCTCGTCTCCGAAGCGGAAGGTCCGGCTTCGAGCCTCGGTTCAGACACGGATTTTTTTTGGCCCCCTCCTGCCCACCCATCAGTAATGGGTACCTGACTTCGAGTTGGGGAAGTAAAGGCGGCGCGGAAAGGAACTGGCCACCATACCACTAAATGCCGAAGGCCCGGGAAGTTGTCTCACTAATAAGGCAATCCCCAATGTCCGGATCGAATGCGGGAACAACTTTACTTTTATATGCACCACATTTTATAATCACATTGCACTTACCATTTTATCAAAACTGTAAGCTTGTTTCACTTAACTTGCGGAAAAATTGGGGGGTGGTGGTGGGGGGCTGTTTTTGTTCTTTAATTTCATTGGGGGGGGGGGTCAGGATATATTGATTTTTAGAGTATAAGAGCAAAGGAATGAATAGCGAACAATGCTCGCCGATGTCTGTCGTAGATCTGGGACTTGATGATGATGATGAATGCTTTTGCATTGTGCACTTTGACACGTTACATGTCAGTAGCTTTCGTTTTCCTCTTTTTTCCAGGAATCGAAATCACATTTGTCCTCGCGAAAGTTCTCGAAGCCCGCTCGGAGCTCAAGGCGATTTGTGAACAACAACCCCTTCAACAAAAACATGAGCTGTAGTGCGACAGGTGGCAGAGGAAAGAGATGCGTCAGTTGTTCTTCACTGAAGGCTGACTCCTTACGTCTGAGTAGAAAAAACAAACTCTCCACCCACTTTCTGCTACAGTATTGCTGTATGTCTCGTGTCCGTCTCTCCACACTTGCTGAATGGTCAGCGCCTGAACTCAACAGAATACGTAGTCACAGAGCACACTCGTGTGTCGTCAAAAGAAGCTTTGGGAAATCAGTCGTTCTAACGTCTGGACGGTGGCGAAAACTGAGGTCGCCTATGTTGACTTTATCATCCATATGTTCCTACAGAAGACACATTCGCAGAAAAAGGAGCACAAAATGCGCCGGCGTCAAAATGAAAATCTCTAGACAGGGTCGACAGGGTAGACAGGGTACAACAAATCGCTGGCACAAAAAATGTACAAGTCTCCATCGTGGATTTCTAGACTCTTCTACGGAAAAGGCAGGTCTTGAAAAGTATAAGTCGAGCGATGTTTATGTGCGTGATTGTGAGAGATTGGCACAACAAGTGGACAATCGGCGGCGTGGTTTTCCCTGCAACGTCCGCGAAATCTCCGAATCGAGTGACAAACTGGAGACATGTAGAAGTTTAAGGACAGGCTCCCGTAACTGTGTTATTCCTCACCCTCCCCTGAGCCCAGTGTGTGACGTGATTACTCCTCTCTTTGACGAATTGACACTTTGTTATGAGCGGAGAGCGGCGACCCCGTATCGTCGTGTGCCCCACTCTGCTTCCAAACGACAAACCGATTCTCCAGACCTGTTGTCAACACCCAGTGATACAGTACGTTTGTCCAGTGGTCCATCATGTTCGTCCAATGATACTGCATGTTCATCCAGTGATACAACACGTTCGTCTATGGAGATCTGTCAAGCTGGAGGCCATGAAACCTCTTCTGGCTGCTTCCGTGACCGTCAACATGTGGCCTCACACTCCCCAAAAAGGATTTGTCAAAGTGTGGGCTCGGACGGTGGAGATTATTCGGGGGTCGGGGGAAAGGTTTGTGGTGGGGTGACCTTCACCGACGCGGAACTACACGGTGGGGGCCACAAGTGTCACTGCCACACATTTCTAGGGCAAAATCATTACCACGACTATTTGGACTTTACGAATAGTTCCCCACGACCACACAGACAGCTAAACACTAGTAGTGGGACTTCTATAAATGACTACCAACACAGCCGCAGCCGTGCTCACCTCGCACTCCCCCGTGGGATTTGTCAGAAATGTCTCCTGTGTCGGGATAGGAGGAGTGGATCCATGAACGGTGACGTTTCCAATGACGTTTCAGCAGCGCCATCCATTCCTCTGTGCCACATTCGTGCACAGCAGTTGATCGACCACACTCCACACGACCACGTCACACACTCGCCAAAGCCTGTCCCGGATGCGAATAATCATACAAGCACTTCACAGGACGTGAGAAGCCGAACCAACACGTCACAGGAAGCTAGCAGGCGTGCCAACACGTCACATGAAGCTAGCAGACGTGCCAACACGTCACAGAAAGCTAGTAGACGTTCCAACACGTCACAGGAAGCTAGTAGACGTTCCAACACGTTTCAGGACGTGAGCGGTTATCTCGATGCTGCTCCGGAACAACAGCGGCCTGTACTCCCTGCACTCCTTGCATGGCCTGTGGATCATGTTGCTTGCCTCAACAGGTACAAGTGATTGAGGATTGCACACTTTCAGAAGATGAAGAATACGAAGGAAAAAAAGGCAGTGTCATGTTTTGACGATTTTTTAGAAATTCTCGTTTTAAAGTTTGGAATCTCATATCTTAACTAAATCCTAGCGTTTGCTACTCAAAGTGACATGAACCAATTTACACAAACAGTACTCGATGCAACGTCATTGGTCTGGTATTAACGCGACACGAACAATCTCTATTGTTGTGATGCCTCATTATGGTTTGGATAAACATGGATAGTTCAGCACAACAACCGTCACAGAAATCAGCAACCGACCATGTTGGATGTTTATGACATTACTGAATCTTAACTTTTATTGTTCATCTTGAAGATTACAAAATTAATTAATTCAAACAAAGGAACATAGCTACGGCGATTAATGATAGTGAACCAAACACAGTTATTACTCATTTAACATTTATTACTCAGACATATTACAATTATAGTGACAACCCTTTGCTTCTCTTGTGGTGGACTCCTGAGCTGCAGTCTGTAAGGAATAGTGTGTTAAAGAAAGACATAACACTTTCTTCGCAGTGGTGTTTCTATGATTTGAGGTGTTCGTGTTAGAATTCTTATGTGAAACTGTAGTGCCATGAGGTCACACAAAATAATTCAAAATGGACTCGTTTGTTTTTTTCCCTGCGGTCTTCAACAGGGTATATCATTATCTATTTTATGTACATTTTGCAATAGAAAAGTCTCTGGGCGCTGTATCTTGGGATAAGTGTGGGTGGTCGGCGGGTGCTCGGGTGTGGTTTGCTCCTTCTTTCCTGTCAAACATCTATCGTCTTTATCCCCCTTCCGTCTTTTTTGTGTTTGTTACTCTCTTGTAACACCTCTAGTCTACGGCACTTGTATGACCTTATTGTGTTTCCAGTGCCGTAAAACTCGTACTAAAACAATTGAGGATAGGTCATGCCTTGCGCTTTCCGTGCACAGTACCATACCATTACTAGTAAACATTGTTCGGTGCAGCTTCACCACGGTCCACCAGCTGAAGTAAAGCCAGACGGGACGACTTTGTTTGAGACCCACAAAATTGTGTTGAAGGTTTGGTTGGCTGGGTTTTTTTCTTTTATCGAGTATCTCCGTCTGTCTACTTGGACGTTGTGTCTCTCTGAACCTGGGTTGGCCTTGACAGGCGGAGTCTAAGCAGCCGCCTCCTATTATCATCCTATCATGTATTTAAAGAGGCACCAGACACCCATGTCTACGTGCTGTTTTGGCCAGCCGCCTCCTAAATGATCGAAATTCTGTTAACTGAAACGTATTACATTTTCAATAACTTATTCGTCCACATCTTGACGTAAGCTACTTCATTTCATTTATTACTGAAAACACTGCGGGGGGGGTGGGTCACTGGTATTGAAGAATATAATCTACCTTGAGAAAGCCAGAGCTATTTTTTTCTTCCAAAGACCTACGTGGTGTTTAGTACAAATGCTGCTTTGCACTCTAGAGCTGGTCCCGGGTCCTGAGCGGTACAAATTGTGTTGATGGGAGTATAAAACCCTTTTCATGTTTTACGTTTTTTATGAGTGGGTGATTGGCAGGTGTTCAGGTGCAATAGCTCTGTCTTTCCTATCAAACATATATCGTCCTTATCTCTCCTCCGTCTTTTATTTCTACAGGTATGTTAGTAACGTTACTCTCTAGCAACACCTCTAATCTTTGGCACGTATATTACCTATTTATATTTCAAGTGCCTTAAAACCCTCACTCACACTAAAAACGTCTGCCATGACCCAGCAACAAGAACGCCAACAAGCCCCCACCACCACCACCAGGCGACCCGGGCAGACAGCGGTACCGGCAGACGACACAGCAGACGGCCAGGGAGGCCGAGGAGTTGTACGTGAACAGCTACATGTCCAACAACAACGACGACAAGGTCAGGCTTGTCACACGCGCACGTGCACGCTTCTTGCTGCTGTCTTGTACTCACTCTGTTTGTCCGCTTTGTTTGTTTGTTTGCTTGCTTGCTTGCTTTTTTGTTCGTTTGTTGTTTGTTCGTTTGTTGTTTGTTCGTTTGTCTGTTTGTCTAAACCACTTTGAACGCCTGGGATTCCGGTAGTGAAAACGGAAGTTAGTGCGATAGAATTTAAAATTTATACTGAACGTGTGCATTAGCTGTAATAGTAAGTTTTTGGTTCAAGAGTCAAAGAGGGAGATTTTACGCCCCCACCAGGGTAGTCTGCTGACTGAAGTGTCTTTAGACCATTCCGAAAGAAGGGGATATTAACATGTTCTTATGCACAGTGGAATTGTAAATGGGCTGATTTACCAATGTCATGCTGATACTATGCAGGAACAACATAGGGGAAAGGCTGCTTTTTCTTTCCTCATCCTTACTATCGTCCTTTTTCCTCTGTTTCTTTTGTATGTTTGTCACTCCCTTGAGAACTACAATTTTCGGAGTGCCTTGATAGTCGAAGCAGACTTTGTGCTGTTGAGGCTAGAGAGGTGAGCAGAGTAAGCCTGATTCCCCGTTTGGACTTCTCTGCTGACATCCACCCCTTGGCGCTCATATATAACCTTATGCAATTGCGAGCGCCGTAAAACCTCTACTAAAACTAAACTGAGGCTAGACAGGTGAGCAGAGTAACCCTGATTCCCCGTTTGGACTTCTCTGTTGACATCCACCCCCTGGCGCTCATATGACCGTATGCAGTTGCGAGCGCCGTAAAACCTCTACTAAAACTAAACTGAAGCTTGAGAGGTAAGCAGAGTAAGCCTGATTCCCCGTTTGGACTTCTCTGTTGACCCTTGGCGCTCATAATATGACCTTATGCAGTTGCGAGCGCCGTAAAACCTCTACCAAAACTACTACTTGGATTCTCCTCCTCCAATCAGAACATGGAACAGACAGAGGTGATCTTCCCCCTCTCCGACAATCTGGACGACACCGGAAGTACAGGCTCTGACCAACAGAACGCCTCTGGCAGCGACTCAGACGATGACCTACAGTCGGAGGACGAGCCCATCGAGTGTCGACAGCTCATCGGTGCGTGCAGTCCGCGGGAACGTTGTCTGTCCACAGTAGACTTATAGCTGTGGGTTGTTGGCGGGTGTTCTGATGTGGTTTGCTTCTTCTTTCCTATCAAACATGTATCTTCCTCATCTCTCCTTCTCCTCTTTTGTGTACGTTACTCTCTTGCAACACGTCTATTCTTCACTACTTATATGACGTTATTGTGTTGCAAGTGCCGTAAATCTCTTACTAAAACGAGCTGTAGTGCTGTCTTTCCACCATAGACTGTATCTATCATAGTATTCCACGCTGATGTTGTCTGTCCACCATAGACTTGTATCATTCACAAAAGGGGCAGGGGATATTAACATGTTCGTATGCACAGTAGAATTGTAAATGGGCTGATTCATCAATGCCATGCTCACACTATGCTGAAACAACGTAGGGGGAACTGCTGCTTTTTCTTTCCTCATCGTTACTGTCGTCATTTTCCTCTACTTCTTTTGTATGTTTCCCACTCTCTTGTGAACTGCTTTTTCCGGGATGCCTTGATAGTTGTGCTGTTGAGATTAGAGAGCTGAGCAGAGTAAGCCTGATTCCCCATTTGGACTTCTCTGTTGGCATCCACCCGTTCGCGTCCATATGACCTTATGCAGTTGCGAGCGCCGTAAAACCTCTACTAAAACTGAAACTTAAAGTTTCAAGACCTGTTAAAGCTGTACAAGTTCACGCATTTTCATTTTTCTCTTCCATTATCTATTTGTGGAGGCCGAATGTTGCTATTCAAAAGGCTTGTTAATAGCTGCATCGATCGACATGCGGTTTTCCCCTAAAGATTCTTTAAAATATTCTCCAGATCATGACGCCCTTTTGCTGCAAAAAGCTAAATTTCTTTATTTCGCCGATCGCTTTTGTAGGCCGACACTTCTGTCTCTGTAATTTTAGAAAATCCGCCAGGTTTGTTTATTTCAAGTCCTACTTCCGTTCGATACTATCGCGCATTGTCACGCAATACTGAGCACTATTTTAAGTGAGCGACCCGTATAGATATAACATAATGGGTTTTTTTTACTTGGTGCTAAATTCGACTGTGATCCTTTTTTTTTATTCCCATCATCGCTTTTTCTGGACTCCTTTGTCTATTATATATTTGGCAACAGGGAAACACGTGTGTCGCTTTTCTCTCAAGATTTATTGCTCCATCCCAGTAGAGTGTAAATATAGTAGGCCAATGACTTTCAGTTGATGTTAATGCACCCATCATTCCTTTCATCGAAAGGGGGCCCAGCTTGTAAAATATATGAGCCAGTGGCAGGGGGGGGGGTGGTCTGATAAAGTTTGCTTTTTCTTTCCTATCAAACATCTATCGTCTTTATCTCCCTTCCTTCTTCTTTTGTTTGTCACTCACATATAACACCTTCAATATTCGGTACTTATATGGCCTTATTGTGTTGCAAGTGCAGTAAAACTCTTACTAAAACTAAACTTTCTGTGTATATTACCCTCTTGTACCACCTCTAATCTTCGGCATGTATTTGACCTAATTGTGTTGAAGATGCCGTAGAACTCTGACCAAAAGCGTCAAACCTCGAACCTCAAATCCGAAACTTCAAACCTCAACCTTCAAACCTTCAATCTCAAATCTGAAACTTCAAACCTGAAACCTTAAATCTCAAATCTGAAAGTTAAAACTTCAAACTTCAAACCTCAAACCTCAAACTTCACAATGTGTCTGTGCAGGCTACATCAAACACACGGGTCCATGTCTGCTGATGGTCCAGGCCCAGGCCCTGTGGAGCAAGTACGCCACCTGGAACGCCCGCCGCGTGTGGTTCCCTGTGTTGCAACTGCTCTGTCCAGTCGTAGCCATCTTGTTCTTCCTCAGCATTCCGCTAGAGGACACCGAGGAGACGCTGCCGGTAAGACCTAGATCTAGCGTTGCCAAAGACCGTACAATAAACCTCTTTGAGTGGTACTCAGAAAGCCTAGGGTCAGACGGGTCACATGATCACTGATGTGTGTGTGCGCAGGGGCAGGCGTTAGAGAAATTATCTACATTCTTATCGTTAGCAGTAGTTGTTGTAGTAGTTGTTGTAGTAGTTGTTGTAGTTGTAGGGGTAGTGGTAGTAGTTGTGGATGTAGTTGTTGTAGTAGTTGTAGTAGCAGTAGTAATAGTAGTAGTAGTAGTAGTAATAGTAGTAGTAGTAGTAGTAGTAGTAGTAGTAGTAGTAGG